GTCTCTCTTTAGATCTTTTCAATATACTTATTTTATATTCAGGTTTAGTAAGTAAACTTCTCAGGATTCTACTGCTACAGTTTGTTATTTCTGCCAATTTTTCTCAGTGTGATTTTTTGCATTGAGAATGGCTGAAATGGAAATGGCTCAAAATGTCAAACTGGAACTCTATTAAGTTGAAAATAGTCATTTTTCCTGTTCTTTATTGAGAAAATTTTGCATTATAGCAATATTTGTATACATGTGTATTTTCAGTTACAAAATCAGTGAAATTGGAGGTTTAATTTTAAAAGAACTTTTCAACATGTTAATATCTTTTGAAGAACTAAGCAGTATTACTACTCATCAAGACTTTCATAGAAACTCGGTGTTCAGTTTAGAAAAAGCAGTAGAAAGTTCAACAAAGGGAAAAAATCCAAGCAAACTTATTTAACTCAGTTTCAATATTTGATTTCATAAAAGATATATGTCTTACTAGATAGAAGAAAAATGTTTAGGTTTGACAAGTAATTTATTGAAAAGAATAAAATTGCACAGATGGTCTAAAAATTCAAAATGTGTGACTGCCATAGTGAATTGTGTATTTGAGGAGCTGAAAGATATCAGGTGTATTATATCTACCTGGATGAAATATGCTAATAAATTATCCCTACGGCTGATAAAATCAGATTAAAAAAAATACGACTCCACATACATACGGAAGCTTTGAATGTTTTGTTTATATAATGTCTTACGCACAACTAGCAAGCATGAAACATGATTAGGAGTTACACTCACCCAAGGGTGGAGTGGCAGGTGGAGATTCCACCATGTGAGCAAGGGGCTAGGGAAGTAGGTGACACACCACAGGCTCTAGCTCGAAACCAGGGCAGAGACACACATCACAGGACCTCTGCTGTACTGAGTACTTCAAATGGGATTTGACTTCAATGTTAATGTGTAAATGATACATATTTAATCAGCTTACACATTAGTTTAATACTGATGTAAAAACATTGAATACTGACATGCATTATTATAATATATTTTATTTTGATAAAATTCAACTCATCTAGTCATCAGACTGTCTTGATCTACTTTCAGTGCTTAGAAAAAAAAAAAACAACTGTATTTCATATACAATGTCCATGCAGAAAATAATTTATCCTTAACAATTCAATTTGAATTTCCAATTCAAACTGCATGACCAAAAGTGCCTACAGCTATCAAATTTTGACATACAACTGCTCCTTTTAAAATAATCATTGTAATCCCAATTTCCAGTTTACTTTTCCTTATGAACACATCACATGGCAGCACATCCAACTTTTCATTATTCTATTCTCCTAATAAGAATTCTGCCTGTTTCATTATAATATCGATAGAGCTTAGATTAAAAAGATTATTTACTATGGTATTCTTGTAAAAGATCACTTAAGTATTGAACAAAATCAATGTTTATGAAGTTCTGATTTTTGCTATCAAAGAATGCATTCTGTAATGAGCAACATTATTATGAGAAACTGGGAACTATTATTCTTCTTAGAAACAAAAATAAAAGCATTTAGGTATTTCTTCATTTTTTATTTTTCATAGCTAAAATCTAAGTGAGGTTACTGAAATGAAAGAGCAGGCTACTTTCTAAAGGTAAACTATTTTAAATAAATATGGCTTATTTACATTTGTCTACTTCATGAAATTAGCATTTAGAAGTAAAACAAAAATGCCCAAAGTGAGTAAATCAATGATGCGCTAAAAATTCCTTTGTTAACTGTCTCTGGATAAGTATTAAGTATTGGAAATAAATTAGCAAAACCTAAATATATTAAAATACAATGGTCTTGAGCTAGAAGTATTCTGTTTTTTCATTTGTGATTTACTTAACCTTTCCTTCTATCTTTTAGCTTTAGATTTTGTCCTGTTTATTTAAATATATCCCTATACACATTCTGTATTTAATCATTTACTTAAAAATTAAAAACTCTGTACTACTCTTCTGCAAACATTCATCCAGTCCTACCAACTCCTTCTGCACTTTTTCAAATTTTTGTTTCACTTCCATGGACTTTAGCTAAGTCCCCCTTGCACTCCCACACCCCCACTGGAGATCAACCATTTCAACTCCTATAAAAGAAACAGAACTCCTAGATAAAAACTCTTAGAGAACATAAAGGTGGTTGCAAGATGGGAGGAGGATTAAGGTTGCACAAAATGGGAAAATGGGATCAAGAAGATAAATCCCAAAAGTTAGCTTTTGTGGTGGTAGTTACTAGACTTCCTGTGGTGAGTATTTCAGGTTGTAAAATATTGAAGCATTATGTTGTACACCTGATTTCACTATATTGCTATATGTAGATCATTGTTCAATGAAAAAAATTGGTGAAAACTAGCCAGAATGACTCGGGGAACTGCTTATCACATGAGAATGCTCTGCTATGAAATCTGGTGGAGCCTACAAACTTATGTGTGTGTGTGTATGTGTGTGTGTGTGTGTGTGTGTGTCTAGAATTGGGGTGCAGGCCAGAGATGCAGCATGAGAGGTTCCACCAAAGACAAGAGTAGGGAGCAGATCAAGCAGATTTACTGAAATACTGAGGGGAGAAGTGGAGAAGTGGGAGAGACAGAAGAGTGAAGAAGTGGGAGAGACAGAACCCAGTTTGCCCACTGGGTTCCCTGGCCTAGGACTAAAGATATTAGAGTCAGACTAGGTTCAGGACCAGGACCTGGATGAGGTGAACAATCTACCCTCACCACCATCCAGGAAGACTAGGCACAACACTGTTCTCCACTGACCTCACTGTCACTCTCAGATGACAGGCACTGTAGAGATCATCTGGGTTGCATGGATCTGAAAGTGAAAGAAACTTCAAGGAAAACCTCCTAAGACTATATCCTTAATAACCACATTTGGTCAAGAGCTTTGAGACTCCTCTGTTCACCTGTGTATGTGAAGCTGACGCTTACCTGTCTGTGAGGTGTGAGGACAAGGAGTCGGCTACTTCTATAGGAACTTCTGGGTTCATGAAGGAACAAAGATGGAACAATCCTTAATTCAGACTACCTTGACTAGGTTTCTTCATTGTTATCAGATTATTCTAACCCTAGTTTATCTGTAGTAGCTGATTTCAAAAGTCAACCTATTAGCTTTTAACCAGCCAACTCATTCTTATTTCAGGTCATGGCAAAGATGTGATTTCATATATTTTATTGCCTCCAACTCTTATCAAAATCAAAGGTACAAAAAGTAACTTTCCCAAGAATAACCTAAAAGATACATAGTTTATTCATTCTGGTAATTTACCTAGGCTTTAACCTGGGCCAAATGTAAATATCATTCATTAAGCTAAAAAAAAAAAAAATTGGACAGGTTTTTTTTTTTTTAATGTTGTTTTGTTTCTTGTTTTGCTTTTCTGAGGTAGGGGTACAAGTCCCTCTAGTCCCATAAAATTGCTTTCACTAAATTGAGCTTTGTTGTGAGATCCTCTTCTTATTCGCTGTAGGTTTTATGGGTGAAATATATTAAGAATGTTGCCTTTCACATCATTCAGCCAGTCCTTCATAACTCTCCTGGGAGAAGATTTTCTCAGACTTTCAGTGCGCAATAGAGTGTTACCTGCCCTAGTCAAATGATGCATTCTTATTTTATAGATCACAAAAGTCTCACAAGGACCCTATCCATATTAGGAAATTTAAGTTAATTGAACATATTAATTTTTCATTTTTACTTTAACTTACAAAAAAATCTGAGATGAATTTAAAATAATACTGTAAAAGACCCACTCTTTTGAAGAAATTAACTAAACGATGGCCTCTCATTTTCCTGCATCTGCAAAGAATCAGGTCTCCATAAATATCCAAAATGAACTAACGAGAAAGCACAGAGCCACTAAGAACCAAGGTTCCCTAGTTTTTATACTTCAGCTTTCTTCTATGAGCATAACCTTATCAGTTGGCTGCCTGTTGGGTCCATGTTCTTCTCAATCACTGATGTTTAGCCTAAAAAATTCTATCCTCACCATGTGCCGGCTCTTTGGCTCCCATTTCTGTCCGGTGTCACCCTACACCTAACTGTGCCATCAATTGTACCAGCTGCTTCTACCCTGATCAACTTGGCAAACGAGATGAAATCCACTAAGACGAAAGAACAATTTACAAACCTATGAAGGGGGGAAAAAAACAATCCTAAAACTCACTCTAATGATATTTTAGCCTTCTAGAAAGTCAGATTGCATTGTGTTTTATTTGTGTATTTAATATATAAAATATGCCATCTAGAAGTTTCAGATACACTGAATTCATCAGAAGATAATGTTATAGTAAATGTGTCTTATTTCTCTGGATAGCCACTTTTAGAACAATCTACTTTCAAATAGACAAAAGTATTTTCTTCAATAACCTGTTATTAACAGATTGCCCAGTACATATATACATTTGCCACCAAGTATGTAGTGGAAGGAAAATAATTATATGCTTCAGAGATTAATAGGCAATTAAATACACATTCAAAGACAACATTATTTAAGTGTGACATTTTGGATTGTGAAAGCTTCTTCATAGAAGTGTTCATCCAAGAGAGACTTTCTAACTCATTCTATGAGAACAACATTACCCTGATTCCAGACCAAGATCCTACAAGACAAAATACTCACAGGCTAGGCTCTCTTAGGATGTCAATGTCTTCAACAAAAATACCAGGAAGCCAAATTCAGTGGCACATTAAAATCATCACACACCATTATCAAGTGGGATATATTCCCAGTCTATAAGGATGACTTAACATACAAAAATCAATAAATATAAATAAATATAAATGAAAAATAAAACCACATTATCATCTAAATTGATGTAGAAAAGCATGTGGCAAAATTCACCATCCTTTCATGATAAAATAGTCAAATTAGCAATAGAAAGTTACTCTTAACATAATCAGAGGTTCCTGTACTCACAGAAACAGCATCTTGTTTAATTAACCCACATCAAAAAACTACACTCATAAAAAAAATCCTATGAGAAGAACTTACCTGCCAAAATTTTCTTGAACTGTCTAAACCATATATCACAGTAGTCTTCACTTAAGTTAATAAGATCAAGTGTAGAATCCTTTAATTTATTTTGTTCCTTTTTCAAACAGAAAAATAGTGTGATACCTAATAAAGTACCACTGCCATGCGGTTTAGCAAAATAACGATGTTTCAGCTTGACTGAAAAGACGTCCTTGAGTTCAATAAATTCTTCTTTACAGAGCAAATCAAGCTTGGGGTCACCTGAAAAGAAATTAAATTTTCCAATCAAAATCATTGTATGAACCATAGCAAAAATCCAGAAAATCTTCAGCCTCTGTAATTTAATTAATATTCTCTTATGACAGTACCTATATCAGATGGGGTGAAATGAAAGAGAAAACTGTGTCTATTTTCCTAACAATGAAAAAATAGAAAAATGAATACGGTCCCTGCCACACAAAATCTAGGGCATTTAGAAATTTGAAGCTACTTGATGCATGAAGAATTCCAAAAAACAGATCATCATTTCAGTAATAATAAATGATCATGCAAACATTTCCTTTGTACTAATAAGGCAAAGTAATGCAAAGAATAGAATTTCACTAACAGCTGGATGTAATAGTTGTTGAAGATAATATGTAAAGGAAAGGTTATGTGTATTGTAGTTAAACACCATGTGCAAAACTGAAAACAGTAAAATTACTGGGGTGAAAATATTACAAATTCCTGTCAATCTATAGCAAAAGATCTACCTCTTACAAACTGCAAATATAAATATACTGAAACTTGCTGGTTTAATCTTTCAGAAGAATTTCTGAAAATAGGGCAAGAAAACTCTATTACTATTTTGAGCCATTTACCATATATGTTAGGAAAATGTAATATAAAACAACAATCATGGAAAGGGGAAAAGGATTTTGAAATTGTAGCTATTTACAGATGACAATATATATAGTTGCAAAATCCAAAAGAACCATTAAAAATCACTAGATCTTACAACATTTACTATAGAACCTATTAGAACTAGTAAGAATACCCTAAGAAAGCTGGTTACAAATATGTTACTACCCAGAAAGAAGGTATAATAGGGACAAAGGAACCTAAGACCAATTAATGTATTAGATTGAAGAATAAACTTAGCAAAATGTGAACTTACATGGGAAGAAAGCCATTCAAAATACACTCAGAAGCAAAGAATTGAATAAACATTCAATCCAAGAGACTGTACTTTTCATGCTAGTGTTCTTATTATTAATAACTTAAAATGCAATCCTGATCAAAATCTCAAAGGCATTTTATTTGATATAAGGGGCAAGGAATCTGATCAAATGACTTGCAAATTTTCTTGGAATGAATATATCATCAATCTATCTTAAAAGTACATTAGTAATGGGAAGTGCACGCTCAAACTTTTTTAAAAATCTGTAATAAGACATCTAGGATGAGAAATGAATAATCAGAAATGCTTGTACATATTTTAAAGTTACTGAGATGTGGCATCTAGGCTAAATGGGAAATATTCAGTAGAAGGTGACTTAGAATTCTTTTTAAAAGAGACAACTAGTGACCTGTCTCATAATATAAATACCAATATTTCTAAATTAGAAAAATCTTTATATGACCATAAATTAGAATAGCCATGAGCATGATAGTAAAAGCAGGCATACAGAAAAAAACAAATATTTAATATGGAAATTATTTAATGCCTGAAAAGTCCCAAAGACCCATAAATAGAAGCAAAGACTAACTAGACAGAAATATTTGCAACATATGCAGTTAATTAAGCTATTTAATCAAATAAAGAAACACTTTGGTGGAAAAGTACATAAAAGAAACAAGCAGGCATTTCACAAAAGAAGAAATGCAAATTGACCAATGAACATATGAAAAAGTTCAACCTAATTAGTAATCAAAGAAATGCAAATTAAAACAACAAGATACCATTTTTTGCTTTTTAGATTGGCACAAGATCAAAACTAATGCTCGATGACAGTATGAGTACAGGGAACCAGTCCCAGTTGCTAGTGGGAATGCAAAAATGGTAACTGCTGGGGAACAAATTGGGACTAGGTATCAAAAGACTTCAAAATGTTAATTGCAGCAGTGTTTATAAAAGCAAGAGCACTTGAAGCAATATTCAGTTTCAATAGGAGAAGGGTTCAGTCACAGTTATCTGCAGCTCATAAATGAACAAGGACAGTGATTGAGTTCTCACCTGGAAAGATATTCATGACAACAGTTAAAAATAAGTGGAATAAAAGTTCCAAATAAGCCACTCTCACACTAAAAGGAGAAAAAAAAGAAAACCCAAGTAGAAAATAAATTTAACATTACTTACTTCTTAGAAATAGGAGGTAGGAAATATGAGACTTTTTCCTTATAAGCCATCATAATTTCTCCTTTCTGTAATTAGGATTTTGTAATTTTTACAGTGCAGGAGAGGCAAAATGCTTTAAAATACACACATTTTCTTCCCAGAAATTTAATTCCAGGAATTTACCTTAAAGGAGTAAATATGCACAATTTAGCTAAAGAATGCTTACTAAGTATTAACTGCCTTAAACTTGTAAACAACCCATGTGTGGTTCTGTAAGATAATGCATATTCTAACTACTTACGATGTAGATGTACAACTCTGAATAGAATGGTGTCAGATATATAGCGCAATTCATTTATGTTACTGTTTTGTGTTTATTGAATATATAATGTATGTGTAATATATTTTCATATGCACATAACATGGATATGCATACAAAAACTTGGAAGGAGAGTAAGATTTTAGTTTAGTTTGCTTACATGAATTTTTAATTTTTCCATAATGAAAATGATTCTGTATTTGAAAAACTGTTTCCTGTGTGATCCAAAATTATTTCTGATCATATTCCTTGCATTAATTTTTTAAATGACATTCTCTAAAAGGTTAGCCAATAATTTATAAGCACCTTATTATTCCAAGTACTTTACAAGTATTATCTTATTTGATCCTCACACCAAGCCTATGAAGTAGATGCAAAAAGAGAAGAAACTCAGAACAGAGAGATTGAATTACTTGGCCAAAGTCAGAGATGGTAAGATTTAAACAAGTAGTTTGGCTGAGCTTTGTCACAATTTCTTAACCATGTTGGAAGGATGCAAGGACCTTGACCCTCCAAAAATCAGTCAAACCTAAAACACTAGACAAATCACTATTCTGTCTTTAAACCAGTCCTTAGGAAAACAGACAAGAAATGGTCCAGTTAACTGAAGAGCATTTCATCAGAAAATGCAGCGACTTTTGGAGAATCTGAGGGATGAGTGTGGCAACCAGGAGTTCAGGAACTAAAAATTCTGAATATCCCTGCATTTACATTTCTCTGCTGAGGCTTCCAATCTCCGTGTTTTACCGCAGATTCAAATTTGGAGTTTTCATTTAGAATTGTCTCTGTGCCAGTATGATAAGGAGAGGCCAAGAAGAACTATTACAGATTTAGAAGCACTGCATCTTGTATTTGAAAGTAAAAAATGAGTAATTGATGTGTGAATAAAATACTTTTGAAATTTCTAACAGTAGGCGACTGTTCTCCTGCACCCTTTCGTTCTCAGCAACTATCCAACTCTCTCAGGTGCCAATTTCCTACACAGAAATTCTGATCTATTACTCATGCAATGCTGATCATTTACATTATGTGACTAAAACTGCTCAATTCTCATCACAAGACTCATTTTATTTTGAATATAAATATTTTGTAACAAAAGTAAAAATGTGTATGTTACTCATTTTACAGGAGATTGTTCTCTCATTTTAAATATAGTCAAGAATAAATGTCACAATTCTGTCACTTGAATTCACATTTTTATTTAAAAACTAAGAACAATTAACCAATCCTCAGATTAGGCTGTGTTTTTCTGGCTTGTTTTTAAAATTGTCAAAATAGGAATAGTGGATCATCACTTGGCTCTGTGGGACAAGGTGGGGGGGTGGGTTGGGGAGTGAGGTAATGATTTTCTAGCCTCCAAAGAAAACTAAGGCCAAAGGATCCTCAGGTTTCTAGGTGGAAAGCCCTCAGGCTACCCCCAGTTAGCCTGAAGAAGATTCTACAGATTGGAGAAGGTAAGCTGAAAAATCTAAGGTGGTCATTGTTTCTTCTCAGCACATACTCCAAACACTCTCTCTCTGACTCACTGAGAATAAACAAATATTTCTGAAAATAAAATGAGACAAAAACAAGATTACAGAGGAAAACAGAAAGAGAAAGCCATTGTTTGAGGTCTAAAAAAGATCAACACTTAACTAAATCCATGGTAGCAGTATCATAGTCTCTCTTATTCTCCATGTGGATCAAAAATAAATGTAGATGTTATATCTTTGCTTACACTTTCATCTACAGGGTAGCTACCGTGAGCTCCATTCTACCACCTGTTTAGTGCAACCAGTTACTGCCACAAATAAATGCAAAAGTTTTCATCTTTGTACATAAGTCACATTTCCATATGCAACCTAACACATGCAGCTAGACAGTATATTAAAAGGAATTTAAAAATTAACAAATAATATAGATTGGGGCATGTATTTCAACATAAAATAAATTTTGAGCTTAATAATAGAAATACTTTCAGTGAAAAAAATGAAATACAGGTCATAGCTATATTGCAGCATGCATAATATTTGCTAACAATAACTAAAAATATAACAATCATCTATTTATACAGTTCTGCAAGTTATGAGCACTAATACCTCAGAGATAATATGTAGTTTTGCTTTGTGGCAGGTCTTTTATTATTCGAAATCTATTAGTTCTTTAGTATCATATTGGTGATAGCTGGTTGTTTCAGAACATTAACTGTCCTCTCACATTACTTACAGAGATACTGGGGACCATCTGTTCTTGCAAGGGATTTAAGTATACGTCTATTGGATATCATGCTACTTATTTAATTCAGCGCCCACTTCCTATTGTTGTATTTTCTTGGGGGGGGAAAAGTCAATTTAATTACAGGGAATAAAGATAACCTCTCCTGGCAGGTTACCCTGTCACCATGAGAGCAAAGCAGGACCTGCTTAAAGTGGGTTACAGTGGTTAACAAGAAGAGTAAAACCAACAACACTTAAAAATATTTAGCAAAGGTTTAACAAAAATAGAACTCTGGATGGCACTTTTAAAAATATTACTGTAAGCCTCAGGCTTGTCTAAATCAATCTTGGCACATCTGTCTGATGCAGACCGTAAACAGGATTAGAGCTGGATTTATCTGCTTGGCGCTAATTGTGCTCACAGTTTCTG